TGCATTAATTCTGTAGATCACTTTAGGTAGTATGGACATTTTAACGATATTGATTCTACCAATCCATGAGCAAGGTAGGTTTTTTCATCTGTTTATATCTTCTACAATTTCTTTTTTTAGTGTTTCATAGTTCTCCCTGTATAAGTCTCTCACATCTTTCTTCAAACAGGTACAGTATTTTACACTACTGTCCTCAAGGCAGAAGTAGAGAAAAATTATTCACATTCTTGATTTGTGGCTGTTAGATAGACTTGGTAAATCTCTTCAAAAACAAAAACCTATACCAAAAGATTTTGAACAGTGTTATTCACAGAGTGTTGAAAAAAGCATGCGCGAGAGAGTTTTCTCAATTCCCAGCTGGATTGTAAAAATAAAGAACCAAGTTTGGAAAAATTAGAGAGAAAAAATGTATCCTGTAGTCAACAGAATTTGGACCAATATGAATAATATAAAATCAATTATTTTCAGAATGAAGTATATGAATCTTAAGATGTTGAGGTAAGTGGGCAGGCAATTAGTCATCCTCTGGGAGACTGAAAAGACATGTAGCCACTTTCCACAATTCTTTTCCCTGACTTGCTTCGAGATAGAATCCAGCATCCAGCCAACCCACTTGTCTCTAAGAGCTGACAGGACCCACCATTGGCGAGGCCTCTGGTGTCAGCAAAGAGCAAAACAACCACTTGAAAGAGAGTGCAATCTGAACAAGGGTGCAGGCATTTGTCACCGATTCTCTCCCTGGCTTTACTCAGAGCAAAGAGAAGATAAACTCTGGCTCCCAGCCTCTCCCTTAGGAGAGAAGGAACTGGACCACATCTAGCAGCACAAGCTTTTACTCTGTCTTGTACAAGGCAAGGATGCTAACTCTCGCCACTTCTACTGAACAAAGTGCTGGATGTACTAGCAAAAATAAAGTGCATTTAGATCAGAAAGGATGAAAAATATGATCTCTCTTTCCAGATGATATGATCCTCATCTACAAAACTCTGAAGACTCCATTGAAAAACTGATAGAAGTAATACATGAGTTCAGCAAGTTGCAGAATACAAAATCAACACACAAAAACCAGTTGGGTTTCTATACATTAAGTACATATCCAGAAAGAAATACAAGTGTTTGGAGAGTGTGATATGGTTATGCATCCTTTGGATTTTGACCTATACACTTTATTGGCCCAAGCACCCCAAATCCACACTGATTTGGACAGGCTTAGTGACATTCAGTGGCCTGTTCCCCACCTGGATCCCAATGGAGGTTCTTTCTGATTCAATGTGAGAGTTTGTGCTTGAATGAGGATTGACATCAACTCGTGCAGCAGAAGTAGCTTCCTTTCTTGCAGGTTGTCTGGAGTGAATTCCTTGGTCCAGAGGCATCTGTGATGGAGGTTGACAACCTTTTCTAAATTATTGCAATTGGTAACCAGCTATAGGATAAATTCATGGATAAATATCCTAGTTAACAGAAAGCTCAGGAAAAGCTGTGTGGATGTTTTTATCTTCTGATTCTATATGTTCTCACTAAACACTTTGGGAAACAGATATGTTTACATGCCTTTGTATTCCAGATTCTTAAGACCCCATTCTCTATCTGCCTAAACCTAATGAGCAGTAGTAAATAAAATGAAAGAAAATAAATTTTGAACAACACAAAATTATAAAGTTTAACAAAGAACTAGATAAGAGGTACGATAACTTGCTAGAAACTTCTTTATCAGATTTTACTCATCTTTCATATCCTTTGCCCTAAGAAACTAGGAACTCTTCAAACCATATACTGTTCAGTCTCTTATATTATGGTATCCTAGGAGGCCTAGGTGAAATTTGAAACTGTAAGAATTTATTTTAATATTCTATACGAGGAAAAATGATTGCTTTAAAATTATCCATTTAAGACAAAGTAAGGGGCAGAGGCTGTTGACTATATGGAGACATTATAACACATGTTTGGCTGCTAACAATGTTTGCATTAATGCTAAAATTTGAAGTTCGGTAAAATAATTTGCTTTGTATTTAAACACCCTCAGATGTCAAATACATCCAGTTGGTTGATGGTGTCGTTGAGTTCAGCTATGTATTTATTGATTTTCCGTCATCTGGATCTGCTTATTTCTGGCATGAGGGCTTTGAAATCTACAAGTATAAGAGTGGATTTATCTATCCTTCCTTGCAGTTCTCAGGTTTTGCCTCACATGTTTTGGTGGTCTGCTTTTAGGCACATAAACGTTGAAGATTGTGATGTCTTCTTAGAGAACTGAATTACGTAATGTCCCTTTTTCCTCTGATAAATTTCCTTGCTCTGAAGTCTGCTCCATCTTAAATTAATATATCTATCTATGTTTTTATTTAGTGTTACCGTGGAATCTCTACCTATATATTTACATTTAATCCACATGTAGGGTTATATTTAGAGTAGGGTATTTTTATACATGACATATAGTTGGGTCTCGTTTTTGATCCACTCTGAGAATCTCTTTCTTTTAATTGCTGCATTCAC